AGTGAGCCTGTTGCACCAGTCGCCAGTGGGTCCGTTGCTCCTGCCGCTCGTCTTAGCCGCGGAGCCAGTCACTCCAGTAGTCCGTCGCCCTTGCTTCGGTAGCCACAGCCGCTCCTGTGCCCGTGCCTCTGCAGCTTCAGTCGTTGCCTCCCATCTTCTCTCCTTCCACAGTTCCTCCTCCTCCTCACTTGCCCTCTGTGATAGCCTCTAGCTTTGCTTGCAATTGTGCACCTGCTCTATGACTGTGTGCTCTGCTGATTACACCCCACTTTGGCTATGGGGGTGTGTCAGAATGTTATTATCTAGCCTGTAGTGGGGTGCTCTATAGCGAGTACAACCCTGTTAGGGTTTGCTATATGTATCCCAACTGCTGCTAGTGAAAATCCTCCTTTGTTCATTTCTCTCTTGCCTAGCTAGCTAAACCCTAGCTATGGCTCCTACTTGTGACTACGATTCTCACAGTTATAGCACCGAGCTAGGTTACGTGAACCGAATTCTGGCTTTTCGGCGGCCACCGAATTGCCTTCTACCGAATTCGGTAAGGATCTGTTCGGGACGCTTCGCGACCCGCGGAACCTTCACGTAACACCTGGTTACGGGGCCTTGTGTCGAGCCTATATATAGCCTCGTGTTGTACCCAGGTGATTCATTCAATTCAAATTCTCTTTTCTGAGCTCGATCCTAGATCCTCACAGCGCCTTTCTTGTACGTAACCGTGTAGTGGAAGTTGGACTCGAGGTAGTCCAACCAGCGAATCTGTCGTAGATTGAGATTCGGTTGGGCGCGTAAGTACTGTAGTGATCGGTGGTCTGTCCATACTGTCACGTCGGCGCCAGTCAGGTAACACCGCCAAACCTTGAACGCGTGCACGATCGCCAACATTTCGCGGTCGTGTATCGGGTAATTGCGTTCGGGCGGGTGCAGCTTGCGGGACTCGTACGCGATTGGCTGGAGGCCGTTCCCAAAATCCTGCAACAGTACTGCTCCCACAGCGATGTCACTTGCGTCAGTGACGAGCTCGAACGGACGGTGCGGATCTGCGATGTGAAGCACGGGCGGTGAGCACAAAATGTTTTTGAGGGCCGAGAAGGCAGCTTGCTCTTTCTCCCCCCACGTGTACTCAACCCCCTTCCTCAGCTGGTCAGTCAACGGGGCAGTCAGCTTCGCCATGTCGGGGACGAACCGGCGCACGTAGTTGACGAACCCCAAAAAACTCTGCAGCTCGGTCAAGTTGGTCGGCGCGTGCCATGCTTGAATCGTCGCAATTTTCTTCGGGTCTATTTCCATTCCTGCAGCTGAAATAACGTGTCCCAAAAATTCCACGCGGTCCTGTAAAAACTCACACTTAGACGCTTTGGTCAGTAGGTGGTTCTCACTCAGGATTTTAAAAACTGCGTCGATATCCTGTAAGTGCTGTGCTCTGTCAGGGCTGTAAATCAGTATGTCGTCCAGGTATACTATGACGCACTTATCTAAGAGCGGGCGGAAAGCTTCGTTCATGGTCATTTGAAAGGTGGCGGGGGCGTTGGTCAGTCCGAAAGGCATGACGGTGTATTCGAAGGATCTGTAGCGTGTGCGGAATGCGGTCTTAGGGCAGTCGGGCGGGTTGACGCGAATCTGGTGGTAACCCCCTCGGAGGTCGGTTTTCGAGAAAACCCGGGCTGTGCGCAGTTGGTCGATCAGTTCGTCGGCTCGCGAGATGGGGTAACGGGATTTGATGGTAACCCTGTTCAGTGCTCTGTAATCTATGCACATGCGAAATCCCCCGTCTTTTTTCGGTGTGAACAGTATCGGTGCTGCGAAGGGCGACGAACTAGGGCGGATGAATTCCTTCGCGAGCAGGTAATCGAGCTGCTTCCTTAGTTCGTCCAGTTCGGGCTGGGTCAGTCGGAACTGTCGCTGTACTGTTGGCTGTGCCCCCGGTTCTAACTCTATCCTGTGGTCGTGCGGTCGCTGAGGTGGCAGTCCCGTTGGTAAATCGTCCGGGAAAATGTCGCTGTACTGCTTCAACAGTGCTGCCAGGTCACTCGGTACGTCGGCCAGCAGTTTCTGTAAGTCCCCTCCTTTGTCTGCTGCCTCAGCTTCCCGAATGTCGACCGCGTACACGTCAGCTCCTGCCGCTACGGCGCGTTTCATCGTGATCGCGTTGACACGCACCGACGAAGACTCAGGTGAGCCCCAGCGAGGTAAGGCGATGTTGTTACCGTTCACTCGCACGGTGCAGTCACCCGTCGCCCAGTCGATTCGCGGATTGTGTCGTCGCAACCAATCACGCCCGAGTAAGATATCGGTTCCGTCGAGGGTCGTTGCGAGCATTTCCTGGCTAAACGTGAAGTTACCCCCACATCGAATCTGAACCCGGTCTACGCGTTCCCGTATCGCCAGCGGCGTGCCGTCTACCAGTCGTGCGTCGATCTCAGGTAAACATTTGTCCAGTGGCAGTCGCAGTTTTCGTGCTGTAGCGGTGTTGATGAGGCTGTGGCTGGCTCCCCCGTCTACGAAGATTTTAACTAAGTCCGTCCCGATTTTCCCACTAAGCAGTATGGGGCTGTCTACCGTAGTCCCCTCCTTATTCGGCCGAGTGTGGTCGATTGCGTGAACCGGCACAATCACTCGGTGAGGGTCGGTTGGGTCGGCGAGCGGCGTGACCTGTCAGTAGAGGGCCCGTCTGCTACTGACTCCCAGCGTTTCCCTGCTGCCGGGTCTGTTTCTGCTGCTCAGCTTCCCCCTTCCCCTTAGCGTTTTCCGGGCATTCGCTCTTGCGATGTCCCGGCCGATTGCACGCAAAGCAGCGCCCTTTGAACGGTGCGGCAGCGGCATTTGCGGCGACGGCACGTATCGTGGCGCCCTCGTTCGTCCCACGAGGCCGATGTCCCCAATGGCTGCTTCCGTAGGACCTCGGTTTCGGTCGGCGGAAGAAATCAAGTTTCTCCGCCATAACGAGAATTTCTTGAAAGTCGGTGACGCCGCGAAGTTGGATTTCCTGAGCGATGTCCTGCTTCAGGCCGCCGATGTAGCGGTCGATGCGCTCGCTCTCGTGCATATATCCCACCTGCTCGCATAGCGCCAGAAATCCGCTCGTGTAGTCTTGGACGGAACCGAGTTGGCGCCAAGTGCGGAGCTTCTGTCGCGCCGCGATCGAAGTCGCGATTGGTTCGAAACGAGCGCGTAGACCTGCGCACCACGCGTCCCACGTGCGATACTGGGGCACCTCCACGAAATACGACGGCGCCCAGGGTCCGGTTTGTCCTTCCCGTGTCGGTAGAGTCGCGTAGTCCACCGGCTTCGTGACGATGACGCTCCACCAGTCCATGGCGGGTCCTCGCAGCAACGACACGGCGTAGCGAATCTTCGCCGTATCCTCCGAGACGTAGTTCGCGTCGAAGAAGACGTTCAACGTGAAGAGCCACGCCTGAACGGTAGGACCACCCCGCTGACTTGGGTCAAAGCATGGCGGACGCTGCGGCTTTAGCGGCATCGGCGACGGAAGAGTTGATTCGCCGGCCGGCACTGAAATCGTGACTCGAGGTTGAGTCCTGGCCGCATTCGTCGCGTCGGGGTGTGTCGTGCCGTGGTCGTCGTCTCCGTCATGGCGGACGACGCCATCACTTGCGGCGCTCGCGGGTTGCCCCACACTTCCGTGCTGTGATGTCTGTGGTGCGGGCTGAATCGGAGTGCCAGGTGCTTGGGATTGTGCTCTTGTGAGGTCGTTTTGCAGGGACGAGCGTTCTGCCGTCAGCGTCGCAATTTCCTCGGCGCTCTCGCGGATTTGTCGCAGCAGATCGTTCAAGTGCTCCTGCGTGAGAGTCGTGACGTCGATATGTTCAGCCATTTCGAAGGGCGTCGGCTCGTCTTAGTCTAGGCGCAGTCGTTGCTGCACGCGTTTACGAGAGAACGCGAGGACAGCGGCTCCTAGGTGCTAAGGTACGTGAGTCCCTTCGAGTGAGAGATCAAAAGTTGATTTCCTGAGGTGCGGAGATGCGCGGTCCGAAAGAAAGGGGCTCTGAATACCAAGTGTTACGGGTGCAATGAATCGAAGTAGCGAGAATTGCACTAAGGTGTCAAACGAGTACAAAATGTGAGCGAAGGCATGAGCGAACATTTATACGCGAAACATGCAAACGGTAACGCGGTGCGTGCGAGCTAGCTAGTGCTACGCTGGAGCGAGGCTTGGGCTAGTCCCGAAGCGTAGGCCGACACGGCCATGCCAGCAGTGCGAGGTTTGGTGAAAACAGTGTGCGCGAAGTCGGCGAAGCCCCGTTAGCAGCAACGGGCGAATAACGGCTGTTGCTGTACGCGATGTAGTCGGGCTCCGTAAGGAATGCCGAGAAAATTCCTTACAACTCCCAAAGGAACCTGACGACCGAGCCTAAGAGGAAAGTGTATTTCGCGGTATGCCTGGGTAGTAAGTCTGTTAATCAGTGAATTACAGTATGGTCAACCGAATGCAAGGACATGAAAATAATTATTTTTCCAACCCCTTATGGTTTATGATGTTTGGGGAAAGAAACGGAGAAGGGATAATGCCATATTACATAGGTATCGTTTTCACCTTAGAATAAGCATAACTAATTGTATATCCTCTGTTGGGGCTGCTCTATTATGGAAAAGGACCATTTTCGTTCATCGGGTACAAAGTCGGGACCGACCAGGTTGGACTGGAGAGGACTTCGTCAATTCACTCCAAAATCTGCCATCCATGTCGAACCAGCTGCTACAGTCGATGCTCAGCCTATCACAAAACATTTGCTTCTGCAATTAGAAATTTAGTCACTCGCGAACGTTTTGCCCGTGAGTGACTAAATTGACCATTGTGCCGATTTCGGGGTACAGTCACCAAGTTGAGGAAGAAAAACATCTACAGTACATAAACAACAACGGTTGCCTGTCATCAGAGAAGTTAACCTGGTTACGAAATTAAAGCCCTTAACTTGATTCACGTTGCAATTTCATATTACTGTCACATTTTTGCCCGTGGCGACAAGGGCGAACGTGGCGAAATGCCCAAAACACGTTTCGCGCACATGCCGCCCGCCTACCTGGTGTTCTTGAAATGGGCACCGACTGTATCTGTTCACCCTTGTTCTCGATCCTCTCAACAGCACAAACACTGGCTACAGTGCTTGGATTTGGCGCGCTGCTGACAAAATCCAAACCTTGAGAGTTGCGCGCAAAAACGCACCACGCCACAAACTCCGCTGAATACCCTTGCCCACCATTCCTACATGCAAAACGACCGATTCATACGAGTGTGACTATACCGTATGTGATAGTGATAGCACCTTCATGGGTGCGTTGAGGTTCTACAACCCGTCCCTGTTCTTACACCGGATGCCAGTCTATCGAGAAAGAGGGTGAAGTGCTCTGGAATTTCTCTTAAGGGCCACGTTAGCACGCGCATGAGCGCTCAAATTTCCGCATGAGCTCGCGCGCGGTGTTTCTCCGCGCGGATGGCGCAGCTGCGCGTCAAGATCCTCGCGTGTCTAGGGGTGGGACTATTTTGTCTCTTAATCCATCTCTTCTTGTCGAGTCGCCAGTTAGAACAGCGTCAGGCGCGGCTCGAGGAGTGGAAGCTGCAGCAGCAGCGGCGCCGCCAAGAACGGTACGCGGAGTGGCGCGAATGGCGGCGGCAAAAGCGGGGAGGGGGAGGTCGAGACGAAGAAAGGGGGAAAGGAAGCGAGGGATCCGTAGAGGAATCGGAAAAGGGGGGACAGGACGGTAACACGGGGGGGAATTCGAGAGGAGATGGCTCGAGCGGGGGAGGGCAAGATAAAGGGGATGGAAGTTTGGGAATAGGGGGGAGCGGAGCAGATCGGGGAAAGCATGGGGGAGAGGAGGATGTGGGGGAAGGGGAAGGGGGGGGAGGGGAAGGAGAAGTGGGAGCATAGAAAGAGGAATTTTGGAGAAATGAGAGGAGAAGTCGAAGGGAAGGGTATAGGGCAAGGGGAAAGGGAGGGGCAAGAGGTGGGTAATGAGAAAGAGGCGACAGAGAAAGCGGGGGTTGAGAAAGATGGGAGGAAGAAAGAAGGGGGTGATAAAGAGGGGGGTGAGAAAGAGGGGAGTGAGAAAGAGGGGAGTGAGAAAGAGGGGAGTGAGAAAGAGGGGAGTGAGAAAGAGGGGAGTGAGAAAGAGGGGAGTGCGAAAAAGGGGAGTGCGAAGATCAGCGGGGAGGAAGAGGAGGAGATAAGGGCGATAGCAGAGGGACAGAGGGGGCAAGTGGGGGAGGAAGGGGGAGTGGACGGGAGAGAGGGAAGGGGAAGGGATGGCGGTGGGGATGGGGAGACGAAGGAAGTAGGAAAGCCGAAGGAAGTTTCTGAGCGGGGGACAGGGGAGGGAGACGAGGAAAGGGAGAGAGGAACGGGGGTAGAGGGGATAGAGGAGAAGGTGGAGGAAGGGATAAAAAGGGGAGTGGATGCTGGAGGAGGGGTTGCAAGGAACCGAGAGCATGGGGGAGTGAAAGGTGGAGAGGAGATTGAGCAGGTAGAGAGGAGGGAGCAGGAAGAGAGGAAGGAGGAAGAGAGGAAGGAGAAGGAAGAGAGGAAGGAAAATGAAGAGAGGAAAGAGCAGGAAGAGAATAAGGAGCAGGAGGAGAGGAAGGAGAAGGAAGAGAGGAAGGAGAAGGAAGAGAGGAAGGAAAATGAAGAGAGGAAAGAGCAGGAAGAGAATAAGGAGCAGGAGGAGAGGAAGGAGAAGGAAGAGAGGAAGGAGAAGGAAGAGAGGAAGGAGCAGGAAGAGGGGAAGGAGCAGGAAGTGAGGAAAGAGCAGGAAGAGAATAAGGAGCAGGAGGACAGGAAGGAGAAGGAAGAAGAGAGGAAGGAGAAGGAAGAAGAGAGGAAGGAGAAGGAAGAGAGGAAGGAGAAGGAAGAAGAGAGGAAGGAGCAGGAAGAGAGGAAGGAGCAGGAGCAGGAAGAGAAGAGGAAGCATGGGAGTATTGGCACACAGGAAGTAGAGAAGGAGGGTCGGGGTGAGGGGCAAGAGGATGAGCATGAGAGGCAGAAAGGGCGGCAGCATGAGAGGCAGCACGAGGGGCAGCATGAGGGGCAGCACGAGGGGCAGAAGGGGTCAAATGGCGGAGGAAGGGAAGGGTTGGTGGGAGGGGGAAGTGATGTGGAGGGACAGGAAATGAGAGAGGGGGGAGGAGGAGGAGGAGGAGGAGGAGGAGGAGGAGGAGGAGGAGGAGGAGGAGGAGGAGGAGGAGGAGGAGGAGGAGGAACAGGAGAAGCCCCAGGAGAAGGAGCAGGAGGATTAGCAGGAGGAGGAGTAGCAGGAGCAGGAGAGGTGTGGGACCCGGAGGGAGTGAGCGCGGTGCGAGACGCGTACAACAGCGGGGAGCGATTCTACCTGCTCTCATCCGAAGCAGACAACTGCGTGGGCCAGTCGCACTTCTCTGAGAGCCTCGCGTGCGTGGCAGCAGAGGCGAGGGCGCTGAATCGCACGCTGGTGCTGTCGAGCGAGAGGTGCCTGAGTGCCAAGAACACGCTTACCGGGCGTGTGAAGCGGCGGCACCTGGGGCTGTACTATAACTACTCGCATATCATGAGGTGAGGAGGGGTGAGATGAGGAGGGGAAGGATTCTGAGTGAGTCGATTCCAAAATTACGTCATCATACCACAGCCGTTGTGTTGAGTTGAAAGGGTGGGAGGGAGACTTGAACGGGCCTTCGTGCTGTTTCTGCAACTGCGAGTGCTTCCTCTCGCTCCCTGCGCAACCACACTTTTGGATTGGCTAGTGAGTGATTGAGGAGGTGCCTGAGTGCCACGCACACTCTCTCACAGGGCTGTGCTGCGGTGCGGGTGGTGCTTCCTCTCGCCCCGCGCCTGTCGGGGCTGTTACCAACGTCTGTTTGGGCCTTCAGAAGCGTTTCCAGGCCGTTAGAAGCGTCTATTGGGTTGGGTGTCATTAAAAGCGTCCTTGAGGGGTCTGTCTCAGCGCGAGTCTTGGGACGTCTCGAAAGGCGACACGAAAGGAATGGGGGGGCTGGCACACAACCCATTCCTCACCATCAAAACCCAACGTTCGCGTCCCACCCCACCCCACCTGCAGCCACCAGCCAGTGATCTCAACTCTCTCCATCTCATCTTACACGGTTCAAGTCATGGGGCCACATGGATAGGTGACCAAGAGGAGGCAAGGCGGGTAGATGCTGCAGCAGAAACGCAGAAACTCACACCCCATTACCACCCTGCCCCACCCCACACTACCCTACCACATCCCACCCCACCCCCAGCCACCAGCCAGTGATCTCCCTCTCTGCGTTCCTTGCGCGGTTCAAGTCATGGGAGCACATGGATATAGGGTACCACGGGGTGGGGAAGGGGAGGCAGGGTGGTGTGTGACAGAAAACTTATCACAGCCCTCCGCATCTCACCCCCACCCTACCTTACCCCACCCCATCGGACCCCACCCCATTCCACCCCACTCCACCCCGCTCCACCCTCAGCCACCAGCCAGTCATCTCCCTCACAGCGTTCCTTGCGCGGTTCAAGTCATGGGAGCACATGGATATAGGGTACCACGGGGTGGGGAAGGGGAGGCAGGGTGGTGTGTGACAGAAAACTTATCACAGCCCTCCGCATCTCACCCCCACCCTACCTTACCCCACCCCATCGGACCCCACCCCATTCCACCCCACTCCATCCCGCCCCACCCTCAGCCACCAGCCAGTCATCTCCCTCACAGCGTTCCTTGCGCGGTTCAAGTCATGGGAGCACATGGATATAGGGTACCACGGTGTGGGAAAAGGGCACTCAACGCAGCAGCTGCAGCAGCAGAGGGGCGTGTTCCTGCTGATTCGGCAGCCTCAGGAGGGGCGGTATGGGTTCATGATCTGCAACGGAAGCTACACCGAGGTGAGTCAGCGCTTTCAGCCTTCGTGTGTGTCAGGTTTCGGGTTTTAGCTGCAGTAGCAGCAGCAGCAACAGCAGCAGCAGCAGCAGCAGCAGCAGAGGGGCGTGTTTCTGCTGATTCAACAGCCAGTACTGGGTTCATGATCTGCAACGGAAGTTACACTGAGGTGCGTTGGTGTTGTTGGGTTGGGAGTGTGCTTCGTAGCCCACTGAAGAAAGCACGTGTAGGAGGTGCGGTTACTGGAGGTGCAGGAGGGGCGGTATGGGTTCAGTGATCTGCAATGGAAGCTACAGCGAGGTGAGCTGGTGTTGTTGGGGGCTTGTTTGGTGGCTCACTGACGATGGGAGGTGCAGGAGGTGCGGTTACTGGAGGTGCAGGAGGGGCGGTACTGGGTTCAGTGATCTGCAATGGAAGTTACAGCACTAAGTGGAGAAAGACGCTGGGGCGGCCCTGCGTCCTGCGTCCGGACGCAGCGTCCGGACCTATGTTGCGCCTGACGCGTCAGGCGTTTTTTACGCTGGCGTCTGGACGCCGTCCAGACGCTTGACGCCCAGTGTCCTCTGCCCTGGACGCCCGCTTGACGCTAGTCCGGGCAGGGCAAAACTTTTCCCGGGCAGGGGTAAAAAAAACCTGCCTAGTAAGGATACGCAGGGATTAGATTTTTTTTTTTTGGTAGGTGAAATATGCACTATACACGTACAATGCAAAAACACCACGGTCGTAACCGGTGCTAGAGGGCATAGGTAGTGTATACTACCGTACCCTCCCAGATCTCTACGGAGGCTTATAGACCAAACGCCTAAACATTTCAGCTTGCCCGCCACAAAAACCTATTGTGCCGTTGTCACACTTCAGTACTTGCAGAAGCATCTCGATACATTCCTCATGTTGGTTTTGTCGCTTCAGCTTTGGTGGCTTGGCTCCTCCGAACCTGCCTTCCCTGGTCTGGTGAGGTTGGTTTGCAACAGAAGCAGCTCTGGGTCGCTGCTGCTGAACAGGGCCTTGGTGACGAATGTGACGCTTCAGCCTTGGTCGATTGGCTCTGACCTTGCCTTGCTGAGATTGGTGGAGTTGGGTTACAGCAGAAATTGCCCTGCTTAGAAGTTGATGCCTGACAGGGCCTTGGGGACGACGAATGTTTCCAATCACACTTGCAGTCGTTCGAGCTTGTGTGAGCGGTGTGATAGGAGCAGCTGAGAGCAAAACACCTTCAGAGGGAAAAACACCTCGAGTAGCTTGCCTTGATTCATGGCGCCGAAACACTCTGACGGCGTCATCTATTTCCTCCAAATGAAAATATGCTTCTTGTAACGTAGGGAAAATTCCAGAATCGACTTCTGTCTTCCTGTTCTTCAGAATCTTAAAGTCGGAATAACCTTCTTCACACATTCCAGTAGGAAAATAGTCAACGTCTTGAAATACTCTAGGAGCCGTGCCAAAATTTCGTGAAACGTCCCGTTCCGCCGACGTCATAAATTCAATCTGATGGAAAATTGGCTCTGGTCCATCCTTGATCGTTCCTGCTAGTGATTGAGGTGGTCTCCGCACTTGACTATGAGCTTCCTCTCTCTTTGGTAGACGATGAATCGCAGCAAAGGCAGATAAACGAAATATGTTCCGTTGTCCAGCCTCCTTGTACTTGCACTTTCCGCTTCTTTGTCTTGAACCTGTCTTGTTTTCACGGTGCCATCTTAAGCGACGGTTTGACCCGACCATTTTAACTTCCTTAGAGTAACTTGAATGTCTTGAGCTTAAAAACAGTTTCTTAACCTGAAAAACAGAGATCTTCATAGAAGCAGTTACGACTAACCGATGTTCGCTCTGTGAACACAATGTTGGCGTCATAAACAAGCTCTTGATGAGTAGATCCCGGATCTGTATTCAGATGGTCGAACTGATAGAGCTAAGCATGACATTGAGTAAGTTGAGGTTCGCAGGGATTAGAATGCAAGAAGTTCACCTAAAGTTATAAATACTCCAGACTAGGAGTTGACATAATATCTTAATCGCCTTAACCTAATTCTAGCTTGGAAGGCTTAGTAGCGTGACTGGCGTATTCTAGTGTAAGGAATGCTTGGCAATGTCGAGAGAAACAGATCTGTGTAGTGTTGACCTAGATCTGGTTCTCTAGTTTAGTTAGTTCGGGGTTGATTTGGTTGGGAGAAGTAGATGTGGATGGGTACAAATGTGTGGGGGGGAATAAATGTGGGTTGCGTTTTTTAGGTAAAAATGCAACCCCGAGTGGGCGATCTCATCGCAATTCTGGTCGCGATCAAATCGCGAGTCAATTTCGTGCGGGGAATTTTTTTTTGGGCTGCCCGAAAAAAAATTCCCGAACGTCCAGCGTCAAACCGATTTGACGCGTCCAGCGTCCGGACGCTGGACGATGCCCTTCCAAAGCGTCAGAAGCAACATAGGTCCGGACGCAAAGACGCAGGATGCTAGGCGGAAAATTTTTCGGGCAGACCTTTGTGGCCCACCACCACCACAAAGCCCATTTAGTTCATGAAACCTCTCATTTGTGCTCACGTTTCTCACAACCCAATTCTCTTTCAAAAACCCTAGTGGTTTTAGCTCCTTCGCTCTCTCTCACGACCGTTATGGCTAGCTCTAGCAATCCCTCGTCTTCTAGCGCATCGAAAGATGTCCTTCCCGACGGCGATACTCGCGTTTCACTAAGGATGGCGTCGAGAAAAAACCGCAAAACCCTAATCACCATATTTATAGGCATTTTTGGACCTTCGACGATCCGACCAAGAAGGGGAAGCAGTGCGAGTGCTTTTGGTGCGGGAAAGAGTTCGCCTTTAGTAGTAGCTGATGCACCCAGCATCTCGCCGAATGGAACGACGCGAACGTGCGGCGCGATGGCGGGATTGTTTGCGCGAAGGTTCCTAAGCGCATTTCTGACTCCATTCGCGACGGGAAGGAGAGCAAGATTACGGCGCGCAAGGAAAAAGAGAGGGCGACGGATGCGGCGCTCAACGCCCCAGTGAGCGGCGGAGGCGGTGCGGGACCGAAGCCTAAGAAGGGGCGGATGGAGGATTGGTATGGCGAAGGGTGGAAGACGGCGAAGCGTGCGGCCGACGAGGCAATTTGCCTCTACATCGCGAGGACGCGCACGGCGGAGCGTCAGTGCGAGCATCCGCTCTTCCTCAACATGCTGCGCGCCGTTGCTGCCGTTGGAGGCGGCTACGTCCCCCCCAAGCGTGACTACGTTGGCGGCGTCGGGCTGCAGGAGTGCAAGAGGCGAATTGAAAAGGGGCTGGAGCCCATTACGAAAACCTGGATGGAGACCGGCGTGACGATTGCCAGCGACATGATGCGAGATAAGAGCGGGCGCGCGCAGATGAACATCATTTGTATCAACGACAGCGGCGCGGTTTTCCAGGAGGCGGTCGACTGTAAGGCTGAGACTAAGAGTGGGGCGTTCATCGTGAGCATCCTGCAGCCGATCATCGAGAAGATTGGGCTGCAGCACATCGTCGCTTTTTGCACGGACGGCGGCAGCAACTACGTGTCCGCCGGCAAGAAGCTGCAGAAGATCTACCCGCATCTCGAGATCGTTCCCTGCGCCACTCACGTGCTCGACCTGCTGATGGAGGACATCGGCGGGATGGATTGGGCGCAGGATGTCGTCCCTATTGCGGGCGACATCATCTCGTTCGTGCGTTGCCTTCCTGCGGTGTCCCGAGCTGCACGGCGAGGAGAAGTCGCTGCAGCCGCTGCGCCCGGCGGGCACGCGCTTTGGGACAAACTACATTGCTGTGTCGCGGCTGCTCAAGATTCGTTCGCATATGACGTAGATGGTGACGCACAAGGACTGGGAGGAGAAGGGAGGTAGCACACAGACTGGAAAGACATTTGCGGCGTCGGTGTTGGATGTGGAGTGGTGGCAGAAGGCGGAGACATTCGTGAAGGTGATGGAGCTGCCCTACAAGGTGATGAGGCGAACTGATGGGGAGGCGAAGGGGAGGATGGGTGAGTTGTACGACATCATGCTGCAGCTGACGGAGGACTTGCGGGAGCTGTTGAAGAAGGATGATTGTGGGCTCAAGAGGGCGGATAAGGAGGGGGTGAAGGAGCACTTGAGGCGGCGTTGGGACGAGAGCTTGGCCTGCCCCTTTCACGTGGTTGGCCGGATTCTGAACCCGGCCAACCAGGAGGAGGGGATCTACCACAAGGACGTCGAGTGCACCAGGGTGATGAAGGTGTGGCTCCAGCGCTCGAGGGCATTCGTCGACTAGTATTGGAAGAGCGGTGGCGACACTAAGGGGACGATGAAGGCGCTGCAGGAGGGGATGCTTGCGTTCATTGAGGGCAAGGGGTGCTTCGGGTCTGAGGAGGCAATAGAGGGGCGGGCGGATATTAAGGCCGGGAGTGGGGACATGGTGACGTGGTGGAAGGTGAACGGCTGGGAGTACCGCGACCTGGCTGGCCTTGCGTGCCGGGCGCTTTCACAGCCCGTCTCCGCTTCACCATGCGAGCGCGGATGGTCCACGTGGGATGGCGTGCACACGGCGCGCAGGAACAGGTTGGGTTCGGAGAAAGTCCGCGACCTTGTGTTCATTGCGCACAACTGGAACGTTGTGCACAACCACCACAAGGGTGCGGCTAGTGCGGGGCCGAGTGGGGAAGTCAGGAAGGCGGGGATAGTGGAGGGGAACATTCCCCCCCCTCCCCTTCCCGAGGGGTACAAGCTTGAGGAGGATGGAGAGATGGAGGTGGATGAGGATGACATCACCTTCGACGAGTACAAGGAGCAGGAGGCCATGGAGAAGGAGGAGGAGAAGGAGATGGAGAGCGAGGAGGTGGAGGATGAGTGATGCATGTTAGTGTTAGTATGCATGCTAAACCACCCTTGGACTAATTGTGATTATGGAAATTTGCAACTCACCTTCATGCTTTAGTGTTGTGGCTGAAATGTTGTTTTTGAGGAGAAATTTTGCCATGAAAGTGTGCTACGCCCCCCCCCCCCCCCCTTCCCTCTGCCCTATAACTTTTTTTTGGCTGCCCGGGGGGGTTTTTTTGGCTGCCCGGACCTGCGTCTTTTGCTGCGTCTCGGGGGCCAGAATCTAGCGTCCAGCGTCTGGACGCATGCGTCCAGGACGCTGGACGCGTCTTTCTCCACTTAGTTACAGCAAGGTGAGTTGATTTGTGAGGCACCAAAGAAATGATGGCAGGAGGGGCGGTACGGGTTCATGACCTACCATGGAAGTTACAGCGAGGTGCGTTGCGGTTGAGAGTGTTTGGGAGGTCTAACAGGTTTGATAATTTGCTGGAAGACAGGCGCACGAGAGGCAGTGTGGGTTCATGACCTGCGATGGAAGTTGCAGTGAGGTGAGGTGAGGTGAAGTGAGGTGAGGTGAGGTGATTCTTGAGGCACGCAGTCATCAAAAGCCCACCCTCACTGCATGTTTCAAGAAATACCTTAAAATGTGTCGTAATTCCGCCTTTTCACCTCCCCACCCCCTCCTCCCCCCCCCAAAATAATAATAATTATTATTATTAAGCCTGCTTAGCTTGCGACCTTGATTACATGCCATGGAAATTGCAGTTTAGTACCCCAGAATCCACTCTATGAACTGTCAAACTCTCCACAATCCATCGACTCTCATCCACCCCGCCCCGCCCCGCCCCACCCCACCCCACCACTATTCATCCACACCACAGAGCCCCTTGCCTCCTTGCCTCTCCACTGTGGTCCCTACAGGCTACAGCACGGCTGCTGAGAGTCCATGGGGGGGAGGGGACGGCCTCTGTGGCTACCTGCTGCATGCTACGCACTCCTCTACACGCTTTCGCTCTGCTGGTCCTGACTCTCCTCTCACCTAAATCACCGTTTCTGTTCTTTCAAACCTCTTCCTGCCACCCCACCCCACCCCACCCCAATTCGTCCGCACCACAGAGCCCCTTGCCTTCTGACCTGACCACCTTATCCATACTGCACGTGCTTTGATTGACACGTCTCAAGCCCATCCCAATCCCTCCTCACCGCATAGCCCCGTGACTCCTGACAGAGTTCATTCTGGTCCCTATACCACCGCTGCTGAGCATTGTTGACGCCATAGGAAACGAGCTGGCTTTTGAGAATTGTTGGTTCTCAAAAACCAGTCCCTACACCACAGCTGCTGAGCATTATTAAATGGATCATGGCCATAGCAGCTTCAATGGGGGGCGAGGGTCAGCTTAACTACCTGCACGTGCTTTGCTTGACGCATTTTTAAACCCATCCCAACCCCTCCCCACCGCAGAACCCTGTGACTCCGGACAAATCCATTCTGGTCCCCACGGCGCCACTGCTGAGCATCATTGATGCAATAGTGGCGTCAATGGGGGGCGAGGGTCTGTTTTTCTACGTGCATGTGCGCAGAGGAGACAAGCTCGATCCGCGCAAGTGGCCTCACCTCGACCGCGACACACGGCCTGAAGCGTACGGGGTTTGGGGTTCTAGGGTTTGTGTTCTCCCACAAGAAAGAAAAAAAGAGAAAGAGCAGAGGGGGGAGAGGGGGCGTACTAGTGCTTGGGTTCTTGTTATGGGGATTCTGGAAGCTTTGAAAGGGGTTTTTGTTTCCCTGTTTTTTTCTGTTTTTCTGATTTCTTTTTTCTTCTTTCAGTTTTCTTTTTTATTGTTCTGTTTTTTTTTTCCGGTTCAGGATTGACATGGTAAGCTGCACGTTTTATTTCAGGGTTGGTTTCTCAGTTACCCCTAACCCCTCCCGTCATCCCTCCTCCCATCGTCCCTCCTCCCCGAGCCCCTCCCCTTCTCACATACCTTCCCTTCACTCATCCCCCGTACCCCGATTTCTCCCCTCCCCTTCCTCCCCTCCCCACCCCTAAGGCTGATCCAGAAGCTTCCTTCTTTATCTAGCCCTCCTAAGCTGCCACCTCTACATCATCACTTCCACAGGCAATGTTAGAAGGACTAAGGACTACTGTGGGCTTTGAGGGCCGGGGAGTGCGACACAGGGACCCCCCCCCCACGTTCTTCGCACCCTGCTCTCCTCTCCCACTCCGCTCCCACCCCTCCCCATCCCCCCATCCTTGCGCCCTCCCCCTTCCCGTACCCCTTGCCTTGCAGGCTGATCCAGAAGCTCCCATCGCTCCCCCCCTGGGCTGCCACCTGTACATCGCGAGCAATGAGCGCGAGCCGGGTGTTCTTCCTCGCCCTCGCCCGCCTCTACCGTGCGGTCTGGGGACTTTTGAGACGTCTCAAAAGTTCTCTACCGTGCGCTCTGGGGACTTTTGAGACGTCTCAAAAGTTCTCTACCGTGCGGTCTGGGGACTTTTGAGACGTCTCAAAAGTTCTCTACCGTGCGCTCTGGGGACTTTTGAGACGTCTCAAAAGTTCTCTACCGTGCGGTCTGGGGACTTTTGAGACGTCTCAAAAGTTCTCTACCGTGCGCTCTGGGGACTTTTGAGACGTCTCAAAAGTTCTCTACCGTGCGGTCTGGGGACTTTTGAGACGTCTCAAAAGTTCTCTACCGTGCGCTCTGGGGACTTTTGAGACGTCTCAAAAGTTCTCTACCGTGCGCTCTGGGGACTTTTGAGACGTCTCAAAAGTTCTCTACCGTGCGCTCTGGGGACTTTTGAGACATCTCAAAAGTTCTCTACCGTGCGCCGTGCGCTCTGGGGACTTTTGATGCACCGTGCGCTCTGGGGACCGGGCAGCGTGACGCACGGGGCAGCGTCACGCGTGATTCTCGACCGGGCACCGTGATGCACGGGACCTCCCATTCTTCGCACCCTGTTCTCATTGCCCGCAACCCCATCCCTCTGCCTCGCCTTCCCTCCCCTCCTTAACCCCCCAGGCTGATTCAAAAGCTCCCCTCGCTCGCCCCCTTGGGCTGCCACCTGTACATTGCCACCAACGAGCGCGAGCCGGGTTCTTCCTCGCATTGATGTGCCTCAAAAGTGTTCTCCCGCTCCCCCTCCCTACGTCCAGGCTGATTCAAAAGCTCCCCTCGCTCGCCCCTCTGGGCTGCCACCTGTACATTGCCACCAACGAGCGCGAGCCGGGGTTCTTCCTGGCCCTCTCTCGTCTCTACCGCGTGCACTTGCTGGGCGACTACCGCGCGCTCTGGGGGCCGGGCAGCGCGTGGGTGAGGGAGATGCGGGCGCTGAGGCGGACGCTGGGGATAGGGGGAGGGGGAGGGGAAGGGGGAGGGGGAGAGGAGGAAGATGTGGAGTTTGATTCGGAAATGCAGGTGAGGGGATGGTGAGGGGATGATGAAGGGATGGTGGAGGGATGGTGGAGGGATGGTGGAGGGATGGTGGAGGGATGGTGGAGGGATGGTGAAGGGATGGTTGCAGGATGGAGGGGGTTTGGTAGACTAATTGTGCACCCCCCCATTCCATGCACCTCCACATTCCATGTGCCATGCGATGTGCCATGTGCCGTCATACATGCACACATCTCTTTCTCCCCTTCTCACCCCACGTTATTCCAGCTGATAGTGGAATACGAGGTGGGCAAGATAGTCCAAGGCACAATCACATCACATGATCACCACACATGGTCACATCACGTGGTCACATCACATGCTCACATCACATGCTCACATCACATGCTCACATCACATGCTCACATCACATGCTCACATCACGTGGTCACATCACGTGCTCACATCACGTGCTCACATCACGTGCTCACATCACATGCTCACATCACATGCTCACATCACATGCTCACATCACATGCTCACATCACGTGGTCACATCACGTGGTCACATCACGTGGTCACATCACGTGGTCACATCACATGTGCCGTGTGCCTTCCATCTCCCCCCACTTCCTCCCCCCCCCGTCCTCCCCCCACACACAAACTTCATTCCAGGTGATAGTGGACTACGAGCTGACTTTGAAGTCGACTCAAGAATCCATCTCCCCCCCCTTCCCCCCCCCCCCCACCTGACACACCACGGTATGCCAGGTGATAGTGGACTACGAGCTGGGCAAGAAGGCCCACAAAGCCATTCGCACATTCAACGACCTCACAGACGATCCCAAGGACGGTAATTCACCTCCCCTGTAGCCTCCTCCTTGTTGTTGTGGGTAGCCTCTTCCTTCGGACTCAAAGGTCGCCTGGGTCTGTTCTGAGAATTCTCAAAGCCATTTGCACATTCAATGACATCACAGACGATCCCAAGGACGGTAATTCACCTCCCCTGTAACCGCCTCCCCTGTAACCGCCTCCCCTGTAACCGCCTCTCCTGTAACCGCCTCCCTTGTAACCGCCTTGCCTGTAACTGCCTCTCCTATAACCGCTTTCCCTGTAACCACCTCCCCTGCCTCCCCTGCGACCACCTTGCTTATAGCTGAATCACCTGTAACCGCCTCCCTGTACCCGCCTCCCCTGTTACCATACCACCCTCCAACCACCTCCCCTCTCCTCTCCCGCCTCTCATCTACTGCGGTGTCTTCTTGATTGTGCAGCAACACTTGTTTCCTTCTTGTCTCGCCTCTCTTCTCTTCTCATGCCTATGACCCGCCCTCTTTCTTTCTCCACTCTCCTTGCCTCTTCCCTTCCTGCTGCTCTTTCCCTTTCTGCCTTCCCATCGGTTCCCATCTTTCCAAATCCTTCCCCATCCCTTCCCATCTCCTCGAATCTTTCCCCTGATCTTTCTCCAACTTTCATGTACACCGTCGTTAACCTTCAACCTCAGGTTATCCCGAGGAGCAACAGAGCGAGGCAGCAAATTGATGGGGATTCAAAGCATAACGGGTCGTGTAACAGGCTGTATTACGCTATTATTATTTGGCCTACCTTACATGATTCATAATTCAATTTATTGTGTCTGAATCTGACTTGTTTATGACAATCGACCTGTTTTGTACCTTTACCGTATTTCAATACTCATCCGAGCATGCTCTTGCAAGAAGAGCAATACATGCCTTGTGCCATTGTGTTCGCTTACCCCGGAATGGTGACACTGTGTTCACTGTACATGGACATTCTCACTTTCCCACAGTCACCATTCAAATGTACATACCTACATTGACTACTACATCCTTTCAAGTCATTTTTTACACTCATGAGTGCACACGTGATCTCCTTCCTCCAGCCCAAAAATTGCATGTGCCCAACAACCAGCCAGACCAACCAGCCAGACCAACCAGCCAGAACAACCAGCCAGACCAACCAGCCAGAACAACCAGCCAGAACAACCAGCCAGAACAACCAGCCAGAACAACCAGCCAGAACAACCAGCCAGAACAACCAGCCAGAACAACCAGCCAGACCAACCAGCCAGAACAACCAGCCAGAACAACCAGCCAGAACAACAGCCAGACCAACCAGCCAGAACAACCAGCCAGACCAAACCAGCCAGAAACAACCAGCCAGAACAACCAGCCAGAACAACCAGCCAGAACAACCAGCCAGAACAACCCAGCCAGAAACAACCAGCCAGAACAACCAGCCAGAAACAACCAGCCCAGAACAACCTAGCCAGAACAACCAGCCAGAACAACCAGCCAGAACAACCAGCCAGAACAACCAGCCAGAACAACCAGCCAGACCACACCAGCCCAGAACAACCAGCCAGAACAACCAGCCAGAACAACCAGCCAGAACAACCAGCCAGAACAACCAGCCAGAACAACCAGCCAGAACAACCAGCCAGAACAACCAGCCAGAACAACCAGCCAGACCAACCAGCCAGAACAACCAGCCAGACCAACCAGCCAGAACAACCAGCCAGAACAACCAGCCAGAACAACCAGCCAGAACAACCAGCCAGAACAACCAGCCAGAACAACCAGCCAGAACAACCAGCCAGAACAACCAGCCAGAACAACCAGCCAGAACAACCCAGCCAGAACAACCAGCCAGAACAACCAGCCAGAACAACCAGCCAGAACAACCAGCCAGAACAACCAGCCAGAACAACCAGCCAGACCAACCAGCCAGAAACAACCAGCCAGAACAACCAGCCAGAACAACCAGCCAGACCAACCAGCCAGAACAACCAGCCAGAACAACCAGCCAGAACAACCAGCCAGAACAACCAGCCAGAACAACCAGCCAGAACAACCAGCCAGAACAACCAGCCAGAACAACCAGCCAGAACAACCAGCCAGAACAACCAGCCAGACCAACCAGCCAGAACAACCAGCCAGAACCAACAGCCAGAACAACCAGCCAGAACAACCAGCCAGAACAACCAGCCAGAACAACCAGCCAGAACAACCAGCCAGACCAACCAGCCAGACCAACCAGCCAGAACAACCAGCCAGACCAACCAGCCAGACCAACCAGCCAGACCAACCAGCCAGAACAACCAGCCAGAACAACCAGCCAGAACAACCAGCCAGAACAACCAGCCAGAACAACCAGCCAGAACAACCAGCCAGAACAACCAGCCAGACCAACCAGCCAGAACAACCAGCCAGAACAACCAGCCAGAACAACCAGCCAGAACAACCAGCCAGAACAACCAGCCAGAACAACCAGCCAGAACAACCAGCCAGAACAACCAGCCAGAACAACCAGCCAGAACAACCAGCCAGACCAACCAGCCAGAACAACCAGCCAGACCAACCAGCCAGAACAACCAGCCAGAACAACCAGCCAGAACAACCAGCCAGAACAACCAGCCAGAACAACCAGCCAGACCAACCAGCCAGAACAACCAGCCAGACCAACCAGCCAGACCAACCAGCCAGACCAACCAGCCAGAACAACCAGCCAGACCAACCAGCCAGAACAACCAGCCAGAACAACCAGCCAGAACAACCAGCCAGAACAACCAGCCAGAACAACCAGCCAGAACAACCAGCCAGAACAACCAGCCAGAACAACCAGCCAGAACAACCAGCCAGACCAACCAGCCAGAACAACCAGCCAGAACAACCAGCCAGAACAACCAGCCAGAACAACCAGCCAGAACAACCAGCCAGAACAACCAGCCAGAACAACCAGCCAGAACAACCAGCCAGAACAACCAGCCAGAACAACCAGCCAGACCAACCAGCCAGAACAACCAGCCAGACCAACCAGCCAGAACAACCAGCCAGAACAACCAGCCAGAACAACCAGCCAGAACAACCAGCCAGAACAACCAGCCAGACCAACCAGCCAGAACAACCAGCCAGACCAACCAGCCAGACCAACCAGCCAGACCAACCAGCCAGAACAACCAGCCAGACCAACCAGCCAGAACAACCAGCCAGAACAACCAGCCAGAACAACCAGCCAGATCAACCAGCCAGAACAACCAGCCAGAACAACCAGCCAGAACAACCAGCCAGAACAACCAGCCAGACCAACCAGCCAGAACAACCAGCCAGAACAACCAGCCAGAAACAACCAGCCAGAACAACCAGCCAGAACAACCAGCCAGAACAACCAGCCAGAACAACCAGCCAAGAACAACCAGCCAGAACAACCAGCCAGAACAACCAGCCAGAACAACCAGCCAGAACAACCAGCCAGACCAACCAGCCAGAACAACCAGCCAGAACAACCAGCCAGAACAACCAGCCAGAACAACCAGCCAGAACAACCAGCCAGAACAACCAGCCAGAACAACCAGCCAGAACAACCAGCCCAAAAATTGCATGTGCCCAACAACCAGCCAGACCAACCAGCCAGAACAACCAGCCAGACCAACCAGCCAGACAAACCAGCCAGAACAACCAGCCAGACCAACCAGCCAGACCAACCAGCCAGAACAACCAGCCAGACCAACCAGCCAGAACAACCAGCCAGAACAACCAGCCAGAACAACCAGCCAGAACAACCAGCCAGAACAACCAGCCAGAACAACCAGCCAGAACAACCAGCCAGAACAACCAGCCAGAACAACCAGCCAGAACAACCAGCCAGAACAACCAGCCAGAACAACCAGCCAGAACAACCAGCCAGAACAACCAGCCAGAACAACCAGCCAGAACAACCAGCCAGACCAACCAGCCAGAACAACCAGCCAGAACAACCAGCTAGAACAACCAGCCAGAACAACCAGCCAGAACAACCAGCCAGAACAACCAGCCAGACCAACCAGCCAGAACAACCAGCCAGACCAACCAGCCAGACCAACCAGCCAGACCAACCAGCCAGAACAACCAGCCAGAACAACCAGCCAGAACAACCAGCCAGAACAACCAGCCAGAACAACCAGCCAGAACAACCAGCCAGAACAACCAGCCAGACCAACCAGCCAGAACAACCAGCCAGAACAACCAGCCAGAACAACCAGCCAGAACAACCAGCCAGAACAACCAGCCAGAACAACCAGCCAGAACAACCAGCCAGAACAACCAGCCAGAACAACCAGCCAGAACAACCAGCCAGACCAACCAGCCAGAACAACCAGCCAGACCAACCAGCCAGAACAACCAGCCAGAACAACCAGCCAGAACAACCAGCCAGAACAACCAGCCAGAACAACCAGCCAGACAACCAGCCAGAACAACCAGCCAGACCAACCAGCCAGACCAACCAGCCAGACCAACCAGCCAGAACAACCAGCCAGACCAACCAGCCAGAACAACCAGCCAGAACAACCAGCCAGAACAACCAGCCAGAACAACCAGCCAGAACAACCAGCCAGAACAACCAGCCAGAACAACCAGCCAGAACAACCAGCCAGAACAACCAGCCAGACCAACCAGCCAGAACAACCAGCCAGAACAACCAGCCAGAACAACCAGCCAGAACAACCAGCCAGAACAACCAGCCAGAACAACCAGCCAGAACAACCAGCCAGAACAACCAGCCAGAACAACCAGCCAGAACAACCAGCCAGACCAACCAGCCAGAACAACCAGCCAGACCAACCAGCCAGAACAACCAGCCAGAACAACCAGCCAGAACAACCAGCCAGAACAACCAGCCAGAACAACCAGCCAGACCAACCAGCCAGAACAACCAGCCAGACCAACCAGCCAGACCAACCAGCCAGACCAACCAGCCAGAACAACCAGCCAGACCAACCAGCCAGAACAACCAGCCAGAACAACCAGCCAGAACAACCAGCCAGATCAACCAGCCAGAACAACCAGCCAGAACAACCAGCCAGAACAACCAGCCAGAACAACCAGCCAGACCAACCAGCCAGAACAACCAGCCAGAACAACCAGCCAGAACAACCAGCCAGAACAACCAGCCAGAACAACCAGCCAGAACAACCAGCCAGAACAACCAGCCAGAACAACCAGCCAGAACAACCAGCCAGAACAACCAGCCAGAACAACCAGCCAGAACAACCAGCCAGACCAACCAGCCAGAACAACCAGCCAGAACAACCAGCCAGAACAACCAGCCAGAACAACCAGCCAGAACAACCAGCCAGAACAACCAGCCAGAACAACCAGCCAGAACAACCAGCCCAAAAATTGCATGTGCCCAACAACCAGCCAGACCAACCAGCCAGAACAACCAGCCAGACCAACCAGCCAGACCAACCAGCCAGAACAACCAGCCAGACCAACCAGCCAGACCAACCAGCCAGAACAACCAGCCAGACCAACCAGCCAGAACAACCAGCCAGAACAACCAGCCAGAACAACCAGCCAGAACAACCAGCCAGAACAACCAGCCAGAACAACCAGCCAGAACAACCAGCCAGAACAACCAGCCAGAACAACCAGCCAGAACAACCAGCCAGAACAACC